TTTTCGGAAATCTATAACGAACTGTTTTTATGTTATTTTACTTTAGTTGTTACAGTTTTTTATCTTTACCGTTAATATAATAGTCGAGCCTAATCAGTCATTTTATTTAACTACCAACACCTATGCTCGGAGGTTAAAACTAGTACGCCGGCGTAGAAGATAAGCGCCGCGGAACGCGATCGTTGTTGTAAAGCAACTTAAGCAAAGGGTCGGTCACTGGAAGGGTGACCAAAAAATTATTATGTCGGGCTACTCCGTCAGAATGCACGTGAAGCTCTTGGTTCCGGCTTGTGTCTGTGGTCGTTAATCCTCCAATCCGTATTGGAGCCGCATGGAGGGTCATAACCCACAATGTTTAACCATCCATACGGAAGACCCGAGCCACTACAGTGGCGACGTAACAGGACTGATGGTGATGATGATCTAAACTAGTCCGGACCAGTAACAAGTATAAATCTTAAATATTTGCTGATATCAATTTATTTTGCATCTCAATCGTGTCACAAAAGTATATAAATAGTAAATAGATTGATGTCAGTCACATCAATTATTGAAACACTAAAGCGATACTCGGAATAGTTTGGATCAATATGACCGACCTAATATAATTTGGTACGACCATTGGTGTGTTGTTATAGTGTATACCTAGCCTTTGTTCGATTTATAACATAAAATAAATGGGAAGAACAAAAAATGTTAGCGGATTTATTTTTTTGTATATCGGTAAGCATTCCGCTCGGCTGATACAAATGTTACGTACCACAGTATTAACTAAAAACACTAACGAATCCATATCGTCTATACAGAGTATAACAATGTCGCTTCCCCTTGTCTGTACATTGAAATTTTTTAAACTACACAACGGATATTAATACAATTATTTTTTATCAATACACAGAGTAATTCAATAGGAAGGTTTACGTGTATAATAAAACTGCATATATATTTCATTCGTACATATACATAAAAACAAAATCCATTTAAACTTGAGAACCATCTACTGACCTAGCTTATTTTGGTTTTGAAATATTTCTAGGAGTCCAAGAAAGGTCTAACAAAATGTGAATAAATTTAAAGAAAAATACTAAAAGTAAAAGGGTTTAGCCGGATACGTATGACGAGTCGGCCCCCAAATGGGAATCGATATTGAAACTTATGTTTTAATATCGACTTGATATTCAAACACGATTTATGTACTTTTCGCGACCGACTTCCGCTTTGACCTTGAGATAGAGAGCAAAATATCCGTATGCTTGACTATTACTGAATGTGATATATCTCTAAAGCTAATTAAGATAAAGAAGTGAAACTAACGCGAGGTGTTAGGTTACATTACAGAGTATATCACATATATTTTTTTATAATTTTTAGAATAAAAAAATACATTAAAAAAATAAAAAATAAAAAAATCATGTTTTTTTTTCTGAGTTCTCTGTGACTTACAATCACGAAATTAATATATGTTATACTCCTTTGTGTGCTCTATTACCCATAAAAATTGCGTGAAAAAAAAGTTGGTGCAACACAACGAAAAAAAATTATATGTGATTTCTGTCTTATGGTATACCCCTGTATTATAAGGTTTTCACATTACATCATTGTTTTTTTTTTCGAAATTTCACATCAGCTTGTTTTAAAACATAAGTAACTAGTCTTAAGAGATGGGATAATAGTTAAAAAAGAAATGAAAAAAAAACAGCCAGTGTTCAATACTTATTATTATTACTTTTTCGTCTCTATCAAAATACAAGAAACAAAATATTAATCATCGTCACTGTTGTAATTAATTACAATCGGAACACTTTGAGTCGCAAATAACTTAGTTAGGACCTCAGCAGGACGTACGATTTTGGACAAATATCATCCATATGATAGATAATAAATAATAGCTGCTACATGAGAACAGCATCCCACTGTACGTTTGCCATTGGGGCAATCACAGCAATAACGAAGAATACTATTGTAGTCATTACCTTCGGAAATATAGTGAATGTAAATTCGATAGACTTTTCTATTTATATGTCTTGATTTTACTTCTGCTTTGATGATATTAGGTGCTGATTTCACATATTGTACTGAGAGATTATTTTGATCGTCCATTATTTCGGCCAAGTTAAATGCTGCACATTTAGAAGTAGAAGCTTTTTTGTTAATATATGGGATAAGTCGACACTTCTTACAAAAAATATCATTAACTATTACGATTTTATTCAAACAGTCACTAAACACTTTAGCTTCTTCTTCATTCTTTATAATTTTTTTATAACCAGGAATCTTACACAGGTACTTGTTACAATTTTTACACTTTCTCGACATTATTACTTAATAATGATTTGGTTCGATAGTTAATAATTTCAAAATGCTGATACAAAATACCTATGACAGAATTTGAGTCCCAAACTGCCTTCTTGTGTAATACAAATGACTGTTACTTTAGCTAAACAAACGATGCAGTAAACAGCTCGATAACAAGTTCGAACTTGTTTGTTTATACACTCACACTACAGGGCGCGAATCACATATAATTTTTTTCCGTTGTGTTGCACCAACTTTTTTTTCACGCAATTTTTATGGGTGATAGAGCACACAAAGGAGCATAACATATATTAATTTCGTGATTGTAAGTCACAGAGAACTCAGAAAAAAAACATGATTTTTTTATTTTTTATTTTTTTAATGTATTTTTTTATTCTAAAAATTATAAAAAAATATATGTGATATACTCTGTAATGTAACCTAACACCTTGCGTTAGTTTCACTTCTTTATCTTAATTAGCTTTAGAGATATATCACATTCAGTAATAGTCAAGCATACGGATATTTTGCTCTCTATCTCAAGGTCAAAGCGGAAGTCGGTCGCGAAAAGTACATAAATCGTGTTTGAACATCAAGTCTATATTAAAACATAAGTTTCAATATCGATTCCCATTTGGGGGCCGACTCGTCATACGTATCCGGCTAAACCCTTTTTATGGTCTTTTTACCTAGCTTTGAATCAGTTAGTCCACAATATATCTTTAGATAGGCCATTTTTAAGTATAGGCTTTTAGATCAGTTTTCTTGAACAATGAATATGTTATGAGGTAGCTCACATACAAAAAAGCAATAATTATTTTGCATAAGCAAATGCCACCATCTTTTATTACTCCTGGCTATCCTTTTTTTTTAACAAGGGGAACTGACCTTAACATGCCGTCGACCTGGGCGAAAGGCTGACTGAACCCGGGCCTCTCACTGCAAAGGACGGCGGTCCAGTGCAGAAGGCCTACCGTGCAAAAACCTCCTCTCTCTTGGTCCGGTACCTGGTATCTTAAAATAAATCCCAGGTAGACCCGGACCGTAAAGTCTTGGCTATGCTAGGATTTCATAACCAAAGTGTTAAAACGAAACCCTAATACCAAGACAGCTGTCATCAATATTAAAAGGGTTAAACCATGTTAAACCATACGAGAAACAATATTTTTACGAGTTTTGTAGATTATGTGTGTTGAAAAAATGCGCGAGTTCGCACATGACCTTGCATACATATATTGTGGAACGCAATAAATATATTGAATAAGAGACGCGTAAAGGTCTTTATTCGAGGTAAAGTTTTATACTCTTTATGTTTGACTATCGTACCTTTTGATCCCCACCTACAGAAAAACGTAAATATTCGTATGTAGCAAATAAATAGGAAAATCACAGAGGATTTGTTTCGCTCCAAATATTTTATATGTGCTTTTATATTTTCTCACCGACTGAAAAATCTCTAAACAAATATTATCATTGTTATTAATAAACTCAAGAAATAAAACTACGCATTCATAAAATTCTATTAAAGTCGGGCGGTTAATAACTCACACAAAACTACCACTCGACTTCAGTAGAAAACTTTGGTCAACACGTCTTTTAACTTTAATGCATTGGTTGGAAACAAGTGAAGAGCTATATTGCTTCCCACCTCCAGACATCATGCTTGAACACGACCGCTCTGAAAAAAGCGGAGAAGAAAAAATCTACCTAACACAAGTTACAGGTATCCTATTAGGATCATAAGCCATACCTATACAGATTCAAAATTACTGCTGATGAACTGTGACCCTCGTAATGACCGGACCACTCAGGTCAAGAAATTTATACGAGAATAAATCAAGTTATGGCCCATCCTCCTTACCCATCCAGGAATACGGAAAGTCTGAGCCTCTGCAGTGGTACGTAAAAGGGCTGATGATTATGATAATGATCCAGTTAAAATTTAAAAGTTTGAATAAAATATATAGACTTCACACCTAATCCGCCGCAAGTTGTCGTACAGAACGAACTTTTCTCGCATGTGCATATGATTATCTTCGCAGCAAACTCGACGAATTCTTCAAAGTTTCAGAGCTAAGTATATGCCGCTGTGAAACTTTATAAGTAGTGATAGATCTATTTATTTACTATATAAACGTACTGCTTCATTAGGTTTACCTACACTTAGAATTATATAGGTAATCGCTTATTTGTTTTAAGTTTATTTTAACTATAAAAGAGCAGTTACCCATATCAAAAACTTTCTTTGAATTCAATTCTTCTTAAAACTTAAATAATACAAAGTCAAAATCAAACTCAATTTACTGTGTAACGTGCGCAAAACGGTTACATGAAACGCTTTTAGACAAAAATGCTCAATTTTTAGTATATTGAAAGTATTTTCTAGTTTTACCTAAATTATGTCTCATTGAAGCTATCTTCTAATATCATAATTTCTAACGTTAAAAATATATTTTAGTTAATGGTATATTTATTTTTTATAGCATTTTTATAATGAGGCCTCAATCCATACAGATAAAGTATCTATCTCTAAATGAAATTCTTACAAAAACTTTAATAGGTCAACAACAATAAATTTAATGTAAATTACAAAAAGGTTGAATAAGTTATGGTCACAGAAATTTTTCAAAATATATGTTTTTAAAATAATGAGGCTATTTAAGCGGATTTACCTTACATATCTATCTAAAATGATCATTTTACAATTAATTTAACAAATACTCTTCCACTTTAACATCGACAGCTTCAGCAACGTGTTCATTTGTAACCGGAATATCTGAAATAAACAAGTATTTTTTAATAAATCTTTCAGTACTTTTATAAGAACAATAAAGAAACAATATGATGTTTGGAATCGATGAATATCAAGATTATCAAAAAACAATTTTAAGTGTTTCTCGTTAGACAGCTTTGATGCCATATCTCACTTTATACTAGTTGCGTCTAGTTCTATAAGGTAAGTTTCTAATAGTTTTGTATTAAATAAACCCAGTTAGGTTAATAAAGAGAAGAAATTGAAGCTAAGAACTTTTTATTAAGTATATTAATTTATTACCTAAGTATACATATTTATCTTGTTTACAACCACTGTCCAATCTTGAAGCTTGAACTGCTGCCCTTAGGCTTTCTACTATAACGTAGCTCAGGCAAGTAGGAGGCTCACCGATTGCTAATGACAATAATAAACAATTTATTATTAATACACATATTGAAATTATTCACTTTGCAATCTCGATTAGATAGAGGTCATTGTTGAACATATCCAGTGATCAAAAATCAAAAGATGAATAATATCTGAGAATATTTGAACAATTTCTTTTAAAGATTGAAGTAATTATTTAGAAGTATTTCACTTGTCACTTCCAGGAGCTCAATAGCGCAGTGGCTAGTGAGCTTAGTCTGCGATACGGTTATTAAGTAATGGTCATCTTAGAATGTGTGACCAAAAATTTATTATCTCGAACTCTTCCATGCACTGGAAGGCATGTTAAACCATTGGTCTCAGCTGCATCTGCAGTCGTTAATACCGACCAACCACACTGGACCCGCATGGTCGTTCTTGACCCATTCTTCCAATTCAATTTGATTCGATTACATCAATAGACTGGTGATAATTTCCCTTGTCACTTCTCTCGATAACCATTAACCCACCGAATAATAATTCTCATACTCAATACATTACTTATGATATTGGCTTCTGTAAATATTTTAACCTAATATATATAAATAAAATTACAAACCTTTTGAGCCCAAAATACCAACAGGATTTTTTGTGTTTCGTCGCAAATATATACGAAAATCATGAGGTATGTCTTTTGCGCCGAATATTTTATAATTCCAAGTTCGGTTTGTAAGCACTTCTCCATTGTCTTTGTTAAATTTAATTTCTTCTAACGTCCAAGCTGATAGGGACTGAATGAATGCTCCTTCGACCTATAAATAACCATAAAATCAAGCAAGGTACATTTTCATCTTAACTCGATTTTTGTTTCATAAGGTAAACGATAAATAAGGACGATACCTGACCCACATCCAAAGCTGGATTGATACTTTTTCCTGCATCTTCCAATATATCAGCACGTACTATCCACTTTGTGCCTGTTAGTACGTCGATTTCAACCTCCACGGCAGCTATTCCAAAGATCGGGTAATTGACTAATCGTGGATCATTAGGGCTTGTTAGGTAGTTAGCTTGTAGGTTTATTCCCTGTGCATCGGCGGCAAAAACTATTTCTTGCCACGTAGCCTGGGGCATCGCAGCACGTACTGGTTCCAATCTTTTTTTAATTTCTCGACACGATCGTATTACAGAATATGCGCAACATTCGGCAGTAATACTTGAGGCTGTTGCAAAGTTGTTAGGCGTTGCAAAATTCTGAGTAGGTAAAACAGATACTTTTTCAACAGGAATTTCAAGTTCATTGGCCGCCACTTGAATTATTCTCGTGTAAATTCCTTGTCCCATTTCTATTCCTCCAATACATACAGCAACACTACCATCGCCATGATAAACGGATACCAACGCACTGTAATTTCCAAGATAAAGCGTAGGGTATGCCATATTAATAAACTTCAAACCTCTTTTCTTCCATCGGTTATGTGCGTTGAATTTTTCAATTAACTTTTGTCGCTTATCATAATCTACGCGTTCCAAAAACATTGGAACCAGTTTTGGTAAATCATTATCCTCTTTACGATAATTCATCATTCGTACTGAAGCAGGATCTATTTTTAATTCTATTGCAATACGCTCCATTATGTGCTCGCTTCCTCCTATGCCTTCTAGTCCTCCTAGAGAAGTAGATGAAACGTTTTATAACGGCATAAAGGCAGCTTAAAATCCATAAAATATAAAAATAAAAAAGAAGATTTCCTTCATTACAAACCTGGAGCTCGCATATAACAATTAGTTGCCATGTCAGTTATAACTCCAAAGTTACGCACTGACCACCGTCTTATATCATAACAATTTCTAATAGCACCGATGGCGAGAACGTTTTCACTTTCATTTCGAGTAACACCATTATTAATAAACAATAAAGCATCAAGATATTGTATTTCACCTTTGTCATCAACGCCAACCTTCAATGACAACAAATAATATATAGAAAAAAAACATATAAATACAGCAATCATAAAGATTATAAAAAAAGGTGTGGAAAAGGTAAGTACATAATTATAATATTTTGTACATAGACAAACTATCTAAATGGTTGTGCACAACATTAGGTTTACAACACTTTAAAAGAAGTATTATCTTAAATATAATAAAAGTAAATTAATATTCTAAGTCACATGTTTTTATTTTTTTTTTAACAAAATTCCATTTTGAAAGTTCTTTTTTTTACTAAGCTTGACAATGTAATAAAATAGTTGTAATATATTAGACTTAAGGAACACGGACATGGCAGTATAACTATTAATCTAAGACAAGTGACAATCAAAGTTTAAAACAACAAATATTTGAGGAGGTAAATAACTTTATAAAACACAATAGATACCTGATATTTTAATACAATTAAGAATATTTACCTCATAATCTAAACGACTACTCCTTCGCTTACCAATAGCTCCCATTATATCTGATAAGCGCATAGCCATACGACATGGTCTATTAAGCTTGTGAGCCACTAAAGCGGTAGCACAGGCTACATAATTGATCCTACTTATTTTACATCCAAATCCACCGCCGCATCTTCGATTTTTCACGGTAATTCTAAAAATATAAATATATGGAGTTATTCATGGATCCTTAAATTTAAAAATAATAATGTAAAAAAAAAACTGATTTTAATGTAGAAAAAATACCAACATAACTCTAATTTAAGGCCTTATACTGTAGTTAAACATAGTGATATTCATAATATCACAACAAAAACGAACACACCAAACAAAATTAATAGGTTTGGTTTAATAATCCGAAAACTACCAAACTTTTTGTTATAATCTAACAAAATCATTACATACAAATTCTTCGTGTTCGTGTAATTATAATATAAAATCTGCAGAAGAAACTTACGTGCTTTCAGGAACATTTAACATATCTGCAATTACGGCTTGTACTAGATCCACATATTGGGTAGAGGTGTGAACTTCTAGGCCTTCATCTACAGGCAATGTCACAGCTGTATGTAACTCCATCGTAAAATGATATATAAGTGGACTATAAAAATTGCCTTTGATTACTTTTTTAACATTAATTCCTCTATCAGTAGGAGTGATTCCCTCGTATGCTGTAACCCGATTTTCCTGTTTTGGTGCTTTAATAGCATCTTCTATTGTAAGTATAGGTGGCAGTTTAGAAACACGCTTGTAATTAACTTTTACAAAATTTGAGGCCCGATCAGCAATGGCTTGAGTTTTTGCTACCACTATAGCAACAGGTTGATTATAGTAAACAATTTTATTGTTTGCCAAAATTTCTTCTTTCTCTACAAGTCCTATAAAGCCAATGCGTACAATATTGTTTATACCAGGTATATCCTCAGATGTGAAAACATCTAATACTCCATCTATTTTCTGAAATAAATTAAATTCATTATTATAAAAGATTCTTAAATATCGTACTCTAGAAAAATAATTGAACGCACCAATGCTTCAGATTTTTCTATAGATTCTATATCAGCATCAGCAACATGAGAAAGCACAAAAGCTGCAAACACTTCATTCCTCATAGCTGGCATGTCTTCACTGTATACTGCTTCGCCGGCACATTGAATCATTCCTTCCTTTTTAAGAAGTGGCTGAGTCAGAGGAAATTCATTTTTATTCACATCATATTCCTGATAACTTTGACTAACAGGCGGTCTATCTTCCCTTGATGTAGTAGCTCCAGATTCATACAACGGGTTCAAAATATAATGAGGACATAACTTTAATATACACTGTAAAAAAATTAGCAACATGTTAGCTAATGGCTGCTGTTTTATAATTAACGGATTCCAAAGACAATTGTTTTTTTTTCCAGTATTTTTCTATATAAATACATAATATATAAAAATATGACTAAGCCATCCAAGAATTACCTTGTAAAACAAACTAATGGCTAGTTTTTGTCTAAAAGGAGCTGAAGGATCAGGCGGATTTTCCAGGGGATGAATCTCTGACTTAAGACTACGTATAGTAGCCTGAAGTTCTTCGTTATTAAAAATATTTCGTCCAATTACAAATTCTTCAGTATTATAACAATGTGAAAAATAAGGAGCTATTCCCCCATATACAAATCTAGCTTTTTGTATGATATAAGATTGGAATTCAAATTTAAATAAAAATGCTGCATTGACTTCAGCATGAGCGTTTTCCTTTCGTGGCGTGATCTAAAATAATAAACAAAGATATTTATACAAGTAAATATTAATGTTTTCTTTTTTAGTTAGGATTCCAAGTTATTTACCTTGTAAGTCACTAACTTATGAGCTTTTGATAAAGGTGGCAATTTGATGTTTGTTAAAACCTTACCAGTGAGGTGAGTTTTCATAAATTCTTCCATACTTAATTCAGTCTCCTGTTTTTTACGATCGACTACAAACAATATCATTATTTTATTATGAAGAAACAAATGTTTTCATTTATTATTTCCTATAATTACCTAGAGTTACGATAGCTCCCACGCAATCCAATAAGAGAAATATATCAGACTGAAAGTCGGGATAGTTGTGTTTTAAAACCAAATTTCCAGCTAAAGTGCCAATCTGTAATTAAAATTCACGATTTAATACATATTTATATTCAAATCCCATTTTTTTTTGTTTAATGCTCTTTTTTACGGATTGTTTGTTGATATTTTATATTTTAAAGCAATTACAGGAATTGTCGATTCATCGAACTATGAATATGAGGAATATGTTATAACATTCGCCATAATAACATAAATAATGTTTAAGTGGAACGTCACTTTGACCTCTGTACTCGTATACTCGCATTCTACTCATCATTAATAAACTAACGAGCAAACGTAAATAACTTCAAATAGTCTCAACGCAAAGGAGATATATATATATTATTTATAACAAGAAATAAGAAAGGTAAAAAGGTAAAATATAAATAATAATAATAGTTTATTTGCCAGAAAATTTAAAAAAGTCTTCAATTGACTGTATTATAAATCACTTTTATTTGCGATTTATTTAATAGGCTATATTTGATATTGTGGAAAATATCATCAAGTTTAAATAAGCGGGTCAGAACTTTTGCTTATCAGCTTACTTTGCATTTTACTGTCATACTATTAGATTTGAAATAAAAAATAAACTTCAAATTACTTACATTTCTGACTGAAATATGCGCTATTTGTTGAAAATGATCATACAGTACTTTCAAATACGAAAACTCATCATCCTTTTCTTTACTCAATTGCTCGAAAACAGCCATAGTATAAGTAAGTGTAGCATTAGCCCCTAGTACAAGATTAACATCCAAATAGTGTCCAGTTAATTCCTTTACGTTGCTCACGTCTATTAATACTTTTGGGTAAGATATTATTGGCCGTACACCTATAAAATTATCAATATAGTTTATTTAAAAAAAACACTATGTAATAACTGAATGATGGTAGGAACAGCAAATGGTTCGTGATAAAGATGTCCACCTAACGAATCAATAACGCAAATAATTACAAATAGCAAAGGTGGATACGTAGAAGAAGAGCTTGAATAATATTAAATACATACAATATAAGTGCATATCTTGGAACAGCACCCCTATCGGCAATGTCAACAAATGTTTAAGAGTCAACATCAAATATCAACTTACGGAACTAATACTTAGGACCCGGAGTGGATTTGATAAATATCAATAGTAAGATAAGGACTAATTGAGAAACGTAAAACAGGAAAACATACAAAAATGGGATCGGAAATAAAACAGAGAAAAGAAATGCACATAAAATTAAATCAAATCAAATCAAAATTTATTTATTCAGTTTAGGCTTTTACAGAGCACTTGCGAAAGTCGAAAACTACGCCATTATGTAATTACCTCTAGATGTGTTTCCTGCAACTAACATATAGGAATCATAGCCTGTCTTCTCTAATACATCAAATATAGTGTTTACATCAGAAGCTGTAACCCAGTGTCTACCATCAGCAAGTGAAATTTTCTTAGGTAAGGTTAAATTGCTATCATAACTCTTTACGTTGACCAAACACCATTCTTGGCTTTCCATTTTCCTACAAGAGCCTTCACATTTTTCCCCAAACTTTGGACAATAATTTTGATCAATGTCCTCAATATCCTTAACTTTACGAAGCAACTTGGGATTCACATCGACGGCTAAAGATTTAAATGCTTCTAAAATTGGTCTATATCCAGTACATCTGCACAAGTTACTGCCAAAAGATCGTTCTATTTCTTTTTCTGTCAGGTGGTGATCACTTCCTTGAACCAAACTACGGGAAGAAAATAATAATATTCATTGTTTTATCTACGCCTTACAGTAATTTCATTTGTATTTATGTGTATACCTATACATGTTCATGACAAATCCTGGACTGCAATGACCGCATTGAGACCCAAAGAAATGGTTTAGCCGTTTTTGTATAATATTGTATCCAATTTTGCGATTACCAATGCCTTCCACGGTTGTTATATTCCAATTATCACATGACGTAATAGCTACAAGGCACTAAAATAACACAGATATATTATAAAACTAAATCCTTTTTTGTTTATAGATTGAATAGCAATTGAGATTGCTGTTCTCAATTAAACTTACACTGTACATCAGTGGGCACTAATATTATGAAAAGGAAAGATTTTATTGTTTGTTTGCATTGAATAGACTCTAAAACTATTGGACTAATTTTAAAAATTCTTCCACCTACAGAAACCTGTATCATACGCTGGTGTCATATGTTATAATTTACACGAGTGAAGTTGCGAAAACAGTGTTTAAATAAGCAGTCTATGAATTCGATGTTAAGTTAATCGGAACAATAAAAAATGCACCAAAGCTAGATCAAAAAAATTATTGACTGTGTTAACTGGTCTCTCTGAACTGAAATCTCACGGATCTTGATTAAGCTTTAATACAGGTGAAGTCATATAAAAATGTACATACTGAATTAACAGAGAAGGAAACAATCTCATTCGTGATGGGGTGAGCGATTTTTACGTTGACAATACACGTGCCACATCCACCCTCCTTACACATGTACTTAGTACCACGTAACTCGGCATGTTCTCGTATGAAGTCGACCAAATAAGTGTCAGCCTGGAATTCTCCCCCGGCTGAAATAATTATCATGTTATCATAGTAAAGTAATCGTGAGACTGTAAATTAACTTAATGTAGCATTTCTTTTAAAAGTACTACTTCGACGTTATGTTATATTGATTGTTGTTACAAACAAAGTCCTAGAACATTTGAATAGCCTTCGAATTCTCTTTTGGACACAGTATTGCAAAATGGTAAGGGTGCACAATATGACAGTAGAATAGACTAAAAACTATTTCTAAATATGATAATATATATTATGCATTCAAACATTTCAAAAATTATTATGATATCATTTATTTTAAAAATTGAAATTGTATTTGTACTAAGCACGTAATGTAAAGAACATCGCGAAATCACCGTTTTAAATAGCAACATAATAGATCACGGCAAATGGCTAGTGAAGTGCCTGGAAACATTTAATCGATTCTTGGTGTGTTTGTTAGTAAAAACTAAATAAAAGTAAGGACGATAAAAGTAGTGGTAATAAAAATAAATTTAATCAGAGATTAACAATAGCAATAAATAAAATGTAATCTTATTCTTGACTATCATATTGACTGCATTTGGTATGCGTTTGTATAATAATGAGTGTGGTGTAGCGAAAGAATCTGTTTTTATATTCTTAATATTGTAACAGAAAATTAGTTTTTATATATTATTTTGAACCATTTCTAATAAACAATATATTTTAAATCATCGGGAGCCGTTCGGGATAAGTTCCAATAGCGTTTATTGTACTAATTGTATTATTTTATTTTGTATATATTTATTAACATTACATTATTTGTCAATATTACTAGTTTCATTTAAGCGATGTTGCCGATCTTATCTGTTTACTTGATACGAAATCGAATAACGTAACGTAAAAAAAAATTACCTACTATTATTATTTATTAACAAACATATTTATATGCAAATAAATATTTAAGCTCGACTTGTACCAATTCAATGTTAGTTCATTACTATTAGTAATTTAAATATATCTTACTGAATCAACCAACTAATTAACAATTAATATCTAAAGAAAAAAGATCATGTCACATTTAATTAATACAATTCAATGTATATCCAAATAGTCTAAGATCCGAACCTAAATCGACCTTCACCTGGTTGATAATGGAATAAAACTTATTATATAATTAATTTAGTATATTAGAAAATATATTAAAAATGGGTTCGCTAAAAAAATCCTGGACAGAATATTTTTAATTATTTTTAAAAAAATATTTTTTTATTAAATGTTGCAACATCAAGATAATAAGAAAAATTTAATTCCGACTTAAAGTAAAAAAACATATAGAATGTGCAGACGTTGGGTTGTCTTTTATTTACCTGGACGAACTACTGGGTTGTCAGGTATAAACAGGTATATCGATGCCAGTTAATTTCACTTGATTTGATAATAAAAAAAAATTATATCAACATAAGCGCTGTTTCATTACGAACACATTGATATAGGGTTGTCTGCAAAAAAATCGGTACTAATACGGGTTTGCGAATTTTAAAAATTAAAATTTTAACGCGTGCGAAAGTGAGTGACAGAGAGATCCGAGGAAAGTATACCGTGTAATAGTAAAGGACCCAACATTGCAGTCGCATCTGATCGGACCTTGAATATATGAAAGTGCGCAATTTTAATGTTTGAAATTTTATTTTTACGAAAAACTTCATGCAATTTAATAGTATTTTGTTTTTATCTAATTTTCTTCGGAAAAATTAAAAAATATTATAAAAACTGAAAGAAGGTAAAAAACGACAAATAAAGAAGGTAAGAGATCCTTCAGAAAAATTCAACAAAATTTAAAAATTGTGCTATATCGAATTCTACTAGATAATAATTAAAATAATTATATATTATGTACTTACTGAATACTCTGTACAAGAAATTTTAAATTCTTCATTGTATTTTTGTCCTAAAACAGTTACTTTTTTATAACAGGTAATATGGTAACCTATAAAATCGAGCGCTGCTTTAGTAAGCTCAACTTCATGATATTTAAAGTTTTTGTTTTTACGAAAAGCTTTAACGAACAGTTTTTAAAAATTTCAACAGTAAAATCATTTAAAGAATCGTCCAAACCACACAAAAAACACTTTTTAGCCATTTTTTATCACAACAATACAGAATAACATACTCCAAAATAACGTGCACTGTTTACTATACCTCAACCCTCCATATTTTACATTCCGAGCATGCGCCTTTTCATATATTCAGGGTCCGATCAGATGCGACTGCAATGTTGGGTCCTTTACTATTATCGCTATACTTTCCTCGGATCTCTCTGTCACTCACTTTCCCACGCGTTAAAATTTTAATTTTTAAAATTCGCAAACCCTTATTAGGACCGAATTTTTTGCAGACAACCCTATATCAATGTGTTCGTAATGAAACAGCGCTTATGTTGATATATTTTTTTTTTATTATCAAATCAAGTGAAATTAACTGGCATCGATATACCTGTTTATACCTGACAACCCAGTAGTTCGTCCAGGTAAATAATAGACAACCCAACGTCTGGACATTCTATATGTTTTATACTTTAAGTCAGAATTAAATTTTTCTTATTATCTTGATGTTGCAACATTTAATAAAAAAATTTTTTTTTTTAAATAATTAAAAATATTCTGTCCAGGATTTTTTTAGCGAACCCATTTTTAATATATTTTCTTATATACTAAATTAATTATATAATAAGTTTTATTCCATTATCAACCCGGTGAAGGTCGATTTAGGTTCGGATCTTCTACTAAAAATAATATAAAGAAATCATTACTCTAGTATCCTTTCAATTAATCGACTCGTTGTTTTTCAATATCGATAGTAAATAATTTTATGTCAATCACTATTGTGATATGTCAAATTAAAATGACCTTTACAGGTTTATTGCGCACTCTAGGTGTCTGTTATGGTTGAGCGTGATTGGTTATAGTTATATTGGAGCGTTCTGATTGGCATGTTTAAAATGCAAGTGTGTGCATATCTTTTGTATAATTAGTCTAATATTTCGTCTGATGTAAGGCGGATGAAAAGTGGTACAAGACTCGCGACATCGGTTTTCGTACAAAGGATGCATGATTGCCTTTTTAGAAAGGCAATCATGCATCATTTGAAGCGGTTAGCCTCTTTTCCGTGTTCTGTGGTAAATACTGTATTAACTAATTTGTAAAAGGAGTCATATTATGTGACTTTACTCCTGTAATTTTTTTTATAGAACAGAATAAACACAGCAAAACCAGCGATATCAGATGTTCCTCCTTCTAGGCGACGATATCGGATTGCAGGTCAAGCATCAAACAAATAAATCACGAAACTTCACCCCATGATAATAAATTTCGGTAACTAAATCCTACTACTGAAAAATCACAAATAAAAAAATTTGCAATCAGATGAGATATACGTAAAACAAAACATCGTAACCAAAGTCGGAGACAGTTTTTTCATATACCCGGATTTTAACCATCGAACTTCCTTTTAATTTACATTTCGTATATTAAGAAGCAAGATGCGCTACGATGAAATCCACAATATATCAAAATAAATAGTAAATAATGTATTGGTGGCCTTTAATAAAAGTCATGTAATATATTTCATAATAATATGAAGACAATAATACACACTTACCACTGTACTCTATCCCATTAATTTTAAAATAAACCCTATCCATTTCAACTGTATACTATAACGGCACAGTTCTGTCAATTATAAAATCACTTAATGTGCACAACATCCACAATATAAAGTCATGCATATAATACTTGTTTCAAAAGTATAATTTATAAGTATTACTAATAACACTATATAACACTACATTACGTTACATTATATTCATAAGTGTTACGGATATCAGACATTATTTTGTATTAACCTACTTTCATTTAATTATGTAACAAATTGATTTCTTATTAGATAATCTGCCTTCATTATACATTTAAAAGGTTTTGTTTGTATTGTTTAAGCTAGGTTCGATTTGAAAAATTCATTCGACTTAGGTACATCACACGCGACAAGGCTATATTTTACGCGGGTCAAGTGGAAGTTCTATGGTAATTGTTCTTAAAACTCTTTGTAGAAACAAATTTATTTGTGACAGATTTAATAAATCGTGTTAAAAGCTATCACGAAGTACAACTGAAGCTTTTAGGGTTCCGTATCCAAAGAGTAAAACGAGACTCTATTACTATGATTGATATTTGAAATTTACACAGTTGGTATTTCTGTTACCGTTATACTAGACACTAATTCTAAAAATATAAAAAGTTATCCATCAATTAATGTTATTATTGTAATTTATAAATTTAAATATTTGTATTAATTGCCTAACCTCAAACTGACTAATCTATTTGATATGTATTTTTAAGATCTGCCTGTCGTTCCAAATTATCTTGCCCTACCGTGTCATATGTTCACATGTATAAGCAAAAGTATAAGTGTACTTATGCCATCTATTCTCTGTTACATATGTTGACAAGAAATAATTTAATATTGAGTATTGACGGAAAGCAGAAGGTTCACAATTCGCAAACAACCACAACCACACTGCAGGAACCAGATTGGACGCAAGTGGGCGAAAAGGGAAAGTTGGTAGAGGAAACTGACCATCACTGCCCAGGCTACTCTAAAAAAGTTTAAACGTAAGGGTAAGCAGAAGGCTAGTATGCTATAGAAGAAGCAGCGCAGGAGGGAATCCCGAATGGCTGTCACTTCTAGCAACCGAATTGCTCCGACCACCGGCACAGCGAAGGGAACGCAAGGGGGAGTGGAAGTTGGAAAGCAGGGAAACCTCTCACTGCCCAAGCAAGCCCAAGCGATGCTCACTAAAGGCTGAATGGGACTGGACTGGAAGGGGAAAAAGAAGGGGAAGGGAAAGGCAAAGTCCAGCGTCAAGAGAGCCCGTCTTGATGAGACTGTCTCCGAGAGGAGAGCCTAAAAGGCAAAAGCCTCGGAGACGGACTGAGTCGTCAACCAGACCCAGCTCTAATCCCATCTCCAAGCAAATCTTCGCCTCCGTAACGTCTGCAACTGCAGGG